ACTAGCATGATGACAATAATATTACTATTATCAAAGAAGTATAAACGCTAAATAAAATCATGCTCTTCTAATTAATTAATTAATACAAATTATATTAAATATCACAAAAATATTAAAATTGAAACCCGCGTAAGAGTAAATTAATATCAACAGGTATAGAAGATCTAGTGCTTCGCGCACAGGAAACGTTGATAGAATAGAGTCTTGATGTGGGAAATACCAATACATATTTCCCAGACAGCTGCAATCTAGAACAGGCTTCCTGTAATGATTAATGATGGAAGAGGGACAGGCGCTCTTATTTATCACACAGCAGCAAAAAATAATGCTTAGCAGGCTGTAAAACTGTTTTGTTGCCTCTTGGTCCACCAGCCATCGTGGGTATCCGTGGTGTAACGAGTATTTCTCCTTCTTCGCGAAGTGTCCTGCTTTATTCGCACTGAGGAACGGGTTTGTTTCTCACACTCCTCCAAGAAACGAAATGCAAGAAAATTAGGTACGATGTCGAGTTGATATAGCACGGGAGCTGTGTTGATATCAGGCGAAAGATTTTTCCGAAATTTGAAAACACAATCTTCCAGAATGCTGAAGGAAGGACGTATCTCCAGAAAGTAATTTTACTATTTACATTGTGATCTTCTTGGATATTCCGGTCTAGAAAACCAAAATTATCGGCCGTTGGGATTCTTTGCGCTGACCACGTGACACCCTCTATCCGCCAACGTTGGCACTAACTTCGCCGATAAGCGGCGTTCGCTCGGCCGGTATAGTTCACTTGTGGAATAAAATCACTAACTTTTTTTTTTCCTTGGATATAATGTAGACTGGTAGGTTGAGAGGAATTCATATCAGGTCTCATAACGAAAAACATTACAGTTTCACTACCGTGAAAACCTAAATATTGTGATATGGTTACCTAAACACTATCCGTTGTGTGAAAACGGCTAGATAAACAAATGAGACATTGCTAGGAAACGCTGGCGAAAGAAACAGGACTGTATTTTCTATTCGGTCCATGCTGAAGCCAGGAAAGAAACTTGGCAAACTGCGAAACTACACCTCAAAGAGTATGGCCTGTTGAGAAGTTCCTCCTAGAAAGAGATGGAACACAACTGCACTTCATGGTCTTTTTTTTTCCTTGGCACTACAGCCCCAGCGGGCCTAGGCCTACCTCCATGAAATCCGTTCACTTCGGTTTTTCTAGATCTTACACATACGGTAGGACCCCTTGGGCGAGTGATCAGCTCGTCGCAAGGCCTCTACCTGTAGACAAACACAGAAAAACGCACACAAACATCCATGCCCTGAGTGGGATTCAAACCCACGATCCCGGCTTCCGAGCGAGCGAATACAGCGCATGCCTTAGACAGCCCGGCTACCGTGACCGGCTTCATGGTCTCTTAGGCCCTAATTTAAACCAATCAATAAAGCCAACGTAATTACAGACTGCTTAGAAAAACAGTTTAGAGCGCATGACTTTTGCGACTGTGACCACAGATGATATGTGGAGGCTTAAGTCGAAGCCCTGCTGGCTACCATTGATGAAGACACTCCTGTTAAAATCCGACAGTGTGAAGTCTCAAAAGAAATAGAGTCCTTGAGATTAGGAGAGATCTGCGGTTATGATTTGTTTAATGTCTCCGGGATCTTCCAAGATAATCTCTTGTAAATTTAACTCTAGTAAACTCATTTCACTCTTGCTTTCTCTGAGAAATGGAAAAGATCATCTTCGGAATTTCATTTAGAAACTTGAAGAATTTATTTTGACTCAAACATGCCAAGAGCCTAATCTGTACTACACAAAGAAGACAATACTGAAAGTACAAAAGCAGGATTGGTGAAAAACTTAAAGACACACATGCATTTCTTAATAGCGATCCTCGGGAAAATCGAATTGCAAGAATTGCCTTCAGATGATGGTTGAAAGCAGAGAAGACCAGTATATATTAATAGTCGTCAAGAAGAGGAAACGACAAACTTGTCAGTTATCAAGTTTCCCGCTTGGAGCCGTGTAAGTATGTCTACATTTTCCTATGTTGCAACTTCTTCATAAGTAGAGACTTTTGAAGGAACGGTTTCCCGTTCGTTGTGGTCTACTAAATGAGTTCAACGATTCTTGGTTTAGAAGTTAATTCTGTACCAAGCAGTGCAAAGGTTTTAGTGGTGGCTAAGAATAATTTTCTTGATACTTCCGCCTTTATAAATGAGGTTATTTTCCAACGTTATTGTCACAGACAAAGGTATAACTTAGAAATTCGTAAACATTGTCACAGATTTAATGTCAGCGTAGTAATTGAAAAGCACGAACAATAGGGAAAGGCGAGAGCAAGGCACAAAGGAGAACAACATCTGTTTATAGCAGAGCTTGTTAAAGCTTCAGGAAATGTAACATATTTCAGAGGATTACAATAAACCCCAACTTGGACAGGGAGCTACGTATCCTAGCTTTAAAACCGGCAAATACGGCAGACATGTAAACCGGAAGTTACAAATCTTTACGAATCACTTCGCCATAATTCTCCAATTTAATGCTTTATTTTTAAAGAAAAGAGTAAGACACAGGGGTTGCAGCTATACATCGGAGTACATCAAGATTCCAGGAAATTCCGGGAAATTAAAAGAAATTTTTAATTGTAAACGATAACTTTTGAATGTTCTCGGTTTTTCAGACCAGATATATAGATACATTTCACCCAGTATTGAACCCTGGTTTTGCATTAGCAAAGCTGTGCCGAGTTGAAAGATAAACGAGAACAATACAATTTTCTTACTAAACTATTTAATTTTTATACCGGCTAAGCTGTGTCGGTCAGGGTTGAATGACCATTAATTCGTAGTTCATTTTGGGCTCGATTTTTGGTCGAGGATTGCAACTTTTCTGAGCCGTTACAAGTGTTAAACTCTTGATCATCTGATTTAAGTTTGTCTATATATTGCTGTCGACACGAAAACTTCCGCTAAATGAAACTGAGAACGCGGCATGTTTTTAAGGCCGTAACAGGCCAATAAGCAACTGCGTACTGATTGTCAGCGAGGAGCAAAAGGATAATGTAAATAGTTCAGTGATGAAGTGTTGTGATATGGTAGAATCAGTTCATAATGATTTATTCGTATTATGACTGTTACAGCAAAAACCATGTTAATTTTGGAGACCTCAAGACGTTAAAAATATTGTAACGTGTATAGATAGGCAACGGCGCGGTAAGGTCAGTAACAATCAGCGCAACAATGGACTGGGGAAATAGTCATAACGTGACTTGTTTCCTGTGTGGTCTGCTTTACGCAACAATAGAACAATATTTTCTGTGTGTGGTCCATGCTGAGAAGATACGAGAGAATACAGCAATGGGAGTTGACCTCACTTGAATTGCGAAGTTCCAAGGGAACAGCAGTGTGGCCAGAAGAAGAAGTAGAACACTTAGCGTGTGACGTTAAGGCCGCGCCATAGCTCAAGCGGTTAGTCGCTGGCTGCCCACCGCGGCGGACCGGATTCGATCCAGGGTGTGGTCAAGTGGGATTTGTGGAGGACAAAGTGGCGCTGGGGCAGGTTTTCTCCAAATACTTCGGTTTCCCCTGCCAATCCTCATTCCACCAATTGCTCCACAATCAACTTCACCTATCATCTGGTGCTGGGACAACAATCCAGAAGTGGCCACCGTGCCGAGTGGACTCAGTTGGACTCTACCCCCCACTAAGCGTATTAAAAAAATAATTAGTGTGTGACATTACATGTGCTGGTTACAGTAATCTTGAGAGTGTAAGAACTAATTGTAGTTACGACTAGTGATGAACCAATAAACCTATTCACCACTACAAACCCTCGTCTTCGTCGCTGAAATACGTGACAATATAGACGGAAAAGCGTCTCTTAACGTCATGTGATTAATAGAATTTAATAATGAACCTATTCCAGCTAATATATTTACATGCTTCAGGTAGTACTGATAATGTATATTTCATGAGTGATTTCTGATGGGTTTCATTACTTTAACCAATGGAAGCAAGTAGTAAAACTTTACTTTATTTAATACACGTATAATGTAATTTTTTAATTAACTTTTCATGGAACCAGTGATAAAATGAAACACAGAAAGAAATTAAGAGTAGCAGCACAAATTATAAAAAATTAAGCAAGCCAACATACTCAACAAGACGCTGCAATTTGGAAAATAAAATTACACATGTAAATCACTTAGGGTGTAGGCCTAAACACGATAAATACTGCATGTTTTGTTTTGTAATTAATACGCAATGAGGATGTGGCTCAAATACAACTGTATTTTCTTACAGGTAGAATGTAAGGATAATTTGTATAAAAAATTTAAGTTATAATTAGGTAATTTTGTACACGAATAATGCAAGCGTTGTCCCTGTATAGCCCATTAGAATACATTTTTATCAACGTTTCAAGTTTAAGACTAGTAATGCAAAATTATTTTTATGTCACACCGTTTTATATATGGAATTTTTAAGATAATTAGGAAAAATGAGTAAATAAAATTCACTAAAATCTCCTTATAACATCAACAGCTTAACGTTTGCTGTAGCTGGTTCTCTGGGCATTTTATAAACAGTGAACAACAATATAACAGGTTGTATTGTACTAAAAATTAACTGTGCGACGTGCAATTATAAGTAAAGTTAATTAATACCACTTAATTTTAATTTAAATCTGCAAATTTCAATGTTGAATTCGTTGTTATGAAAAGAAAACAGGGATATTCACAGACAAAATTATGAATATTCGTTTTGATAAACGAAAATGATACCTATCTAATTCTGTCATGTAAAACCTCTGTTCTAATCACAATTACACTATCATTCTCAACCTAATTTTCTCCCCACTTTTACTGAAATCGTGTAATCATCATGAAACGAAACATTATTCGCCTACGCAGCTCACTCTGTGAATGGTGTGTTCTGGAGGCAGGCGAGACCGAAGCGGCATGCAGCAAGCTATACATAGCAGAGAGCACGTGTCGAGCCTTCATGCTTCTCACCTTGCTGGGGTACCCGTTGTATCTCAGCAGTTTCTTGCAACACTTGCCACGGTTCTCGTAGTAAAACATCTGGACCATGCTGGTAGCTGCAGTGTTACTCGGAGACGTAGTTGCCAGGGACAATGCTGGCGAAGGGTGGCGTTGTTGTTGTTGTTGCTGCTGTTGTTGGTGATGGTAATGGTGTTGCTGCTGCTGTTGTCTCCTGATCGGAATACAAAAACAGGAACAACATCCACCTCCCGGCAGGAACCAGAAGGAAGAACTGGAAGCCTCTGTCGAACGATGGTCTTCGGGTGTCGTAAGCCCCTGTCTTGTTTGCCTCATACCCTCAACCATTGACCCCAGGCCCAAGCCTCGGGGACACTTTTCCTAATATACTTTACAGCAATGGTAGACAGGAAAGAGGGGGGAGAGGAATATAAAAAAACAACAAACAAAAGACAGATCTCCCAACACAACACCGCCCTATTTCTGAAGAAAAAAAACTCCTCCCCTTTACACCCACCACTACTTTCGCTAATTCTGTTTTTCTTCTCGGACTCTTAACACCAATGATCCTAAAAATCGTCTCTCCCCCCACTTTCTCTTTCTGCCAGCTACAGTCACATTTATAAAATTAATTCTAGTCTCCCTACCCCTTTGTGCGTCTTTTCCCTTTTCCTTTTATTAAAAATAAACCATTAAATTGAAGCCAAAGAAAGTCCTCTAGTTCTCGGATGGACACGTCTGGAGTCGAACCTCGCTACTCAGTTACTGAAAATATCTCCGCTTGTTTGAATAGTCGGTAGCGACGCCCGTTCAGAGAGCGCTCGCAGCCCCACTCAGTGTGGGCTCCTGCTGAATTTGCACCACCACCACCACTAGTATCATACGCAGCAGCATCCAGCCCCTCTCCGTGCCAGCCGACTCCCTCCACACCCTCAACTACACCCGTCACTGCAACAGCGAAATAAGTGCCAATACATTCCCCACTTACTTCAACATATTACAACCTGTTTGTCACCGAGAAATAAATTACTCTTCCCATTGTGACTCTCTGAAGTTTAAAGTCTGTAGTTGGGATATCGGATTACAGCTAGCGCGAAGGAATTCACCAAATAAAATGACAAATACATGGTTTGAATGAAAAATGTGTCTGACGTCTAATTTATCTGGCAGAGAAGTTTATTCAAAGGAAAATATTTCATAAGTTGTTTACGTTACGAGTATAACGTATTTAAAGGAACTAAGCTCATCTTCTAATGCCGCTTTAAATCTCGCCAAAGGCCTGGATATCAATTCGTGTTTTCATCATTTCTAATCATTCTACTGACTACCATCCTCAGAGTTTCAGCTGTGGGCGTCTCTAAAGCAATCCACAGCAAGGAGGCAGAATTGGGGCACAATTTCAGAATGTGTGTGGGTGCTAGTGAAGAAATATTTAGAAAATGTAATTTGAAGATATTAAATCCGGAAGTTTATTACCAGAAATTAAGAATAAAGAAGTGATAAGCAACTTTGATTCTCAAGACTGGTAATCTGAAAACCTTGGGCCCTTGCCTGTGCAACACACCAAATTGTAACAAACGTCTAAATTTCACAAAATACATGTTTATAATTTGTCTTCAAGTAACATAAGATACTGGTATTACATAACAGATAACTCCGTGGCTTTAGCCCGCAAGCGAACTATACCGACCGAGCGACCGCCGCTTGTTGGATAAATTAGTGCCAACTTTAACGGATAGAGGGTGTCGCGTTGTCAGCGCAACGAATCCCTACGGCCGTTAATGTTGGTTTTCTAGACCGGAGCCGCTATTTCCTTGAAATAGCTCCTCAATTATCCTCACGAGGCTGAGTGGACCCCGCTCGCATTTTTTCGACTTTATGGTTAGACGAGCATTAGACCACGAAAACCAAGTGTTACTATATGCACCAGGAGCTATATCACAAAAATTTTTGTATTCTGCTTCGCAGAGTAAATTTGTGTGTCTCATATGTGTCTCACAAGAAACAGCCACTACTTCCCAAACAGCATTAGCCGATTGACGAACTGTATATTATTTGGAATAAATTCAGTCTTTAAAAGTACGAGTCTGAAGGCTCCCAGAACCATCATATAGTAAGATATGGTCATGAGTCCCGCGGGAATAGGAACCAAGCATAACTGTGCTGCCGAGGACCAGCAGCAATTTAGCAGTCAATCATTCAATCACTCTTTAAAGGATTAATGCTAAACTTGGGACTACTTCCTTGATGCCAAAGTATTCAAATTTTAGGTTTATACTGATAATACTGATAATTTTAGTCCTTTTTGTGAAATGTGTTTATCTGTGAGAATACTACCTTCCCTGGATTGATCTACTTCATGGGGTTATTTACTTATTTAGTTAATCAGCCACAGATTAGACAGTACTGGATTTGACATACATCTCATTTTAATTCTTTAGCAGTCTTTCATGAATGCATGTAGGATATTGGTATGAAAGCCAGAAGGAAAGAGACCACTGGAAAGACCAAGACGTAGGTGGGCGGATAATATTAAAATGGATCTTAGAGAGATAGGATGGGATGGTATGAATGGATTGATATGGATTAGGATAGGGGCCAGTGGAAGGCTCTTGTGAACACGGAAATGAACTTCGGGTTCTAAAAATGTTTGAAAACTCTTGAGAAACTGCACAACTGGCGGCTTCTCAAGAGGGGCTCAGCTACAAGGAGTTAGTCAGTTAGTTAGTTAGAATTACTAAAGATATGCAGTGTTGAATAATGTGCAATGATGGGCAAAAGGATGATGAATTGGGAAAGGTCTGGAACCGGCATTCGTGGCAGATTTCAAGGTTAGTCTGCTACCTGTATATTGGCCTAGAGAAACTTGGTTTAACCATTCTAATTCTGTCAAAATAAGTATTCAGATCATGACCAACGCATTACGAAAACAGTGAAATCTCGGTTTGCTCTATTTACTGCATACACAACGAAGTTTCCCATGATTTTCTGACATACTTGTATTTGTCTGGTGTGTTATGTTGGGAATGGGATAAATGAATTGCTACGGGAAAACTGCTTTAGCCTAGTTAATTTTCTATCACTGAAGTTGACAGCGGGGATTCTTGGAAGCCATAAACCTTACAACAGAATATTAAGGACAACATTTAATCTTGTGAACCCGGAGTACGGTGGAAGCGGTGGAGTTCTGATGTGCATTGTTCTTCGCTTCAAGCAATAATATACTATTCAATAATTGAAGAAAGCAGTCTTCTGGGATTTGGCACCGTGTATATGTGGTGCTAACCGATGTTTCGGAGGAACGTATCGCCTCCATCTTCAGGGTAGAAGAAAAAATATAAGAAATCTGCAAGCTAAGAGGCCATGAGAACCGGTAAAAGCAGACTGCTACTCCACCGCTNGAAACAAGATGTTTCAATGTTATTTTTTCTGAGTCTTATTCTATATCAATTAAATTAAATTGATTTGGAATTTCTAACAGAAAAAGAAGAGTATTTTAAACATCAACTGCAGTTTTCTATGATGTGACGTCATTAGTTCGATTTCAGCGTTTCAGAGGAACCTGCTGCCTCCATCTTCAAAGCTGAAATCTGGAAGATAAATGAAGATGCTGACAACAGATTTTTCTGGAACATTTTGATTTATCTACCAAACTACACTGCGTCAATTCTCAGAAGATATTATTCTTGTTTCTCGCCACTGTAAGCACCTCAAAGGTCACTGCAAATGTAGTTTATGATAAAACAAAAATCATGTTACTTACTTACTCACTCATGGAGCTGAGCCCTTCTTGAGGAGAAGCCAAATCTGCAGCTACTCAAGATTTTCCCAGGAATTTAAAGAACCCGAAGGTTCATTACAGTGTTCACAAGAGTCCTCCACTGGTCCTTATCCTAAGCCAAATCAATCACATAAATCACGTAACGGTAGTTATTTCACTTTTGCCCACATACTCTGGGGATCGTTCATCTCATTCTAGAACCTATATCTAGCACGTTATCTGTCTTTGTCTGGAAACCGACTGGAGCAGAAAAGGGATGCTGCATAACGCAAGCGCAGAAGAGGCCAGTACGTGACAACAGCTTGCGAAAAAAGAGAGGGAACAGCGAGCGAGAGAGGGTAAAGGAAAATCTTAAACAGAGAAAGAGACAGGAGAAGAATCCAACTTTGATACCATGGGGTAGAGAAGTGGAGGCCAAGATACGTCTAAAGAGCGATAAAAGTGGAGACACACATGATTACAGTGGCGTATCGAAGGAAGATGTTAATGAATTGAAGAATATTTCTCTCTCACTCACACGCACACCAGAATCAAAACAAACCGAGAAATGTGAACCCCATAACAACTTGGGACCGTTTACCCCCGTAATCTACCAAGTATTAATGCTGTGGGTCACAGCTCTTCTTAATTAGCTAACAGTGGCTCAGAGAGTTAAGAATTCTTCTCCTTTTATGGAAACCGAAGATTAATTATCGTGTACATGTAAGTCTGTAACGGATCTTATCCTGGGCCAGGTGAATCCAATCCTCACCCTTTACCCTAGTTCTATATGATTCAGTCTATCCATCTACATCTAGGTATCTCAAGTGGTTTTCTCTTTTCTGAATTTCTAAATAAAATTCTAGGTGCCAACTGTCTCAAAGTCGCATTTAAAAGCGAAAACTCTTAATAAAAGTCTAAGATGTCACTAGAAACGATAATTGACTTCATTGTGACTCTGGGTGATTTATAAGACGGGTTTTGGATTGAATGATTGGATTTATTGCACCTTACACACTGAACTCGGGACTACAGGCAATACAGCGCTATCGCTGTTCTACACACTTTGCAGTTCACCGTTACACACGCACTAGAGTTCTCAGTTTTCACTATTCGTCTTCAGGCAAAGGATTTATCACAGCCTCACTGTAACTTCAAATCACACATGGAGTCTTCTTTTCACTGCCTAATTCCTATCTTTCCATTATCCTGCAGCTGCCAATTCCGAAGGATCGATTCGACTACGCTCGACTACTACTCCTCTGTCTTTACTCTTCAAGCGACTTTCTAGTCCCTTTAAAACCCCTCGGCACGTGCCCTACAGAAAACGCCGTCTTCTATTTTTAAGGATGCGTGTTTACTGATCCGTTACCTAGTAATGGATGTCCTAATGACGGGTGAGCTTGTGTTGCGGGAATATGTTTACTGACCCCTTGCCTAGCAAAGATTATACACGTCAGAAAACTGTAAACATTACCAATATTTCCTTCGGGTGTCTTCTACCTTTCCCGTGACTGCTGACGTTAAGTTCTGACGACGTACGAAGCCCGAATGACTAATTATTGATAATTAATTGATTAACTAATCAATTAACTAATTAACTAATAATCAATTGACGCTTTTGTTTCTCCTTGCTTCATATGTCTTCGGTAGAACATGGCTAGATGTTACAGAACTGCCACACTTTGGCTTGTTATGGGTACGATTTACAGCTGCAGAAGGAACTGAGGAAGAAATTGTCACACTGAAGAATTCTCCCGTCTCCTAGGATATAGCGCCTTGTAGGCCGATAAAAGTCAACCGATGTTTCAGAGGAGTATACCTCTTCCATCTTCAGAGTCAAATAGTAAGCCAAGCAGGAAGCCGGAAGAACTGTGCTTTGTACTTGCTCTGTGGTGGTTTCGTGTTTGGTGTACACTTCGACCCTGAAGACTGAGGCGATATGTACTTCTGAAACGTTGGTTGGCCTTTACCGGACTGCATGACATATCGCAGAAGACGGAACTCTGCATAGTCACTGGGGTGAGAACTTCAAACCAAATTATTACTTTCATAAGAACTGAGTATGCCTTT